GCCCCAGCCCCGGCACCGGCGAGGCACAGCAGGGAGGGGGCTGCACAGGCTGGGGGTACTGTTCCCCGTGGTTGGGACAGAGGGGCAGAAGGACACACCAAGCCTCACGCTGCCATGTGCCAGCAGGACCCGAACATCATTAACAGCACACAGCTATGTGCAGTAACGCACAAGTGGCCTGCGGCAACCAGGGGAAAGGAGGGCGCGAGGCCGAAGACCACCAGGCAAGGAGCTGTCAGCACCAGCCAAAGGCTGGTGACTCCCCGGATCGCCACCGCAGCACTGCGGCACATGCCACGTTGGGGCAAAGGTGTCACTGAGGCGGACCCCATGCACATAAACTGGGGACAAGAATGCTTTCACAGCCCCGGTTTCTTGCTAAAGGTTCCCTTTATTTCAGACCCGGAGTTTCTGTAGCAACAAGTGCATTTGGCCACTTGGAGCCAAGATGACACAAACAGGAATTTCCAAGCAGGGAAATACGATCGTTGAGCTGTAAAACCCCATATGAGACCGCAGAGGTCACGTCAGCCTCAGCACAAAGATGCCTGTTTCCAGCCAGACTGGCCTTGTGACAAATCCCCAGGCCGGGAGCGTCCTCCCCCACACACTGGGACCCCAGCTGAGGTCTTTTTCCCCAACTCCATCTCCAGCAGAGGACCAGCCCCTTCCACCAGCCCCTCGAAAACCCAGGTCCTGCCCCTCTCTGCTCGCCACAGCCACGGGCTGACCCCCATGCCTTGCTGCAGCCCTGCTAGCCCCAGCCCTGCACCCAGAAAGCCAATCTGCTTCTGCCTGACCTGCCAGCAGCACCTGCCTGTGCCTTTTGCCATTCAGCAGAGCATGGCAAGTTGTGCCAGCACAGCTGCAATTCAGCAGCGAGAGGTGCCACGGTGCCCCCCCAGCAGGGATGCGTGCAGCCCTGCTGTGCCCTCGCACCGCATGGGACAGTGAGCCCGGAGCAAACGCCTCTCTCGGCAGATTCTTGAGGCGCGGCAGCAGCAGTGCCACGGGGTTCCCCCGGGCATGGAGCACACCTCACCCTCAGCACGGTCACCCTTCGCACGCTTGGCTGCGCTGAGCTCTCTGCAACCTCCCTGCAATGTTAACCTTGGGCTTCCCCATCCCATTTAGAGCTGCCTGTCACTGGTCCCAGTGCACGGCGGGGTGAAAGGCAGCCCCGGTGCTGACCCCGCTGGAGCACCCATCTGCTGGGACGCGTCTGCAGCCAGCCGACGTGATGGCACCCAGCCATCCGTCTGTCCCTGCAGAGGAATGGTGCTCAGTGCACGGCGTGAGGCAGCGGGTGCGCCCAGCCTGGCACGTCGCATAGGGTTCCCACGCTCTGCTCCCCCTGAGGCCACGCTCGCCCATGGGGACACAGCCAGCTGTCACCCGCGGCTCCGCAGGCAGACACATCAGGATGCGGGCACCAGGCTGGGACCAGGGCAGGCAGGCACTGGGTCTCTGAGGCAGACATGGCTGGGGACAGACCCCCCCAGCTGCTCCATCCCAGAATGCTCCTGTGACACATTGCCAGGACTGCCACCACCCCAGAGGAGCATCCTCCTGCTCAGTCCTCCCCGGGTTCCTGTCCCATAAACTTACCTAATCGCTTGTCACACCTGGGCAGCGCTTCACATCTGCAGTATTGAGTCTCACAGCTCGGCGAGGAGACCGCCTATCCTCTGCCCCTCGCCTGTGGGTCTCCCCCCGGCACCCCCAGCTCCTGCAGCCATGGGAAGAAAGTCCCGTCTGCACCCTTTGAGCCACTCTGAAAGTACAAGCCTCCCCTTGTCCCTTCTGTACCCTCTTTTGCAAGCTGGAGAGCTCCAAGCCCTTCCTCTGGGCTCCGCATGGCCACTGGGGTGGCCCTGGCCCATGGCCCATGTCTCCCTTTCCCCCAGGAAGGGTGCTGTTGGGCGCTGACGTCCCCACTCTGGCTGTAGCCTGGCTGCCAGGGCTGGAATGGGGCTGTGGTAAATGATTTCTCAGGCAACAACACGTCGTGGGGCTGTCACTGCCTGGGGCGCAACTGTGAAGCGCAACAAGAGTTTCAGTACCCGAAGGTTTTGTGTGCAGTGGCCCCTCCCCAGCCCCACGCAGATATAAACCCCCGCCGACCTGCGCTGGCTATCTGGCACCCACGGGGAGCACCATGAAGACCGCCAGCATTTTGCTCGTGGGCATCCTCGCCCTGTGTGCCCAGCTGCAGCCGGCCATTGTGGCTGCTGGGAGTACCGGTGAGTGCTGGGGGGGCATCGGGCGGCTGCATCCGGCTGGCTCTCGGGGCGCTGCAGGGCTGGCTCAGGACAGGGGTCCCACATGGGACAAGCAGGTAAGACCGATCACACCGGCACAGAGCCAGGAACATCCTCGGCTTCACAGCACCCCATGACGGGCTGGGGTGACCTGAGCCACACACTGCCGCTGAGCCGTGAGGCTCCAGCTCTGTAGCATGGAGAGGGGCCACTGAGGTCTGCGCCATGTGGGCAGTGTGGGTAGGCGGGGAGGGAGCAGGACGCAGCAGCGTGACGGGAGCCCTGCCCGCAGGGTGCGCTGGCCTTCGGCTGACAGCTGGGTGGACGGCTGGGCCCCAGAAGTGTCAGATAAATCCCCATGCATCAACCCGTGCACACAGCGCCGGGACCCTGAGCTGCCGACTGTCTCCCAGAGGAAGGGGTGCCCCTCTCTATCGCTGTCCCCTGCTTTCCCCGTTCCATGCTGGCTCCAGGGGCACCTTGCCTGGCCCAGCAACACTCTCCTTTTAATCATTGACTACCCTCCCTCGGAAGGCAGGGAGACGTGACTCCAGCACCTTCCCTGCTGCCATGAAGGAGCCACGGTCACCTGAGGGGCTTGGGGGCTGCCAGCATGACCGGGCTTAGTGGTGGTGGGCACTGGCACCCAGGGATGCTGCGGGGAAGAGCCTTGGGGGTCGGGCTTGGGACCGTTGATCCCATCTCCTCAGCCAGGATCCTCCCCTGGAACGTGCTTTGGCACAGGGATGGCTGCCCGCGGCTGCGCTCTGCGCTCCTCACAGCCATCCTCGGCCTCTGTCGAGGAAGCGCCTGGCAGAGTCAGGGTGGGGACGGCAGCATCCCGAATGCCATGCATTAGGGACGGAAGCCAAAGCATTTCTGTCTCCCGGAAAGCAATGCTGACTGCATGGGCTGGAGCTGGGCTCAGCTGCTGGCCCTG